CCTTTTAAGGTACATTTGTGCACCATCCTTGTCTCCCACATAACTGTTAAACTCTTCTGATGTCACTTACATGTGACTATAAGTATACAATAGTGGTCTTTATTCCCATCCTCTGGCAATTTAACTCAGTAGAGATGGTGTTTGCCGACTGGAGAAGACTGAAAACGCCCTGGAGGCTTTGAATTACACATTTCTAGCGTTTTATGCGACCAGGCCAGACCACAAAAACAGTAAAGGTAAGACACAATCTGTAGTTGTATATCTACAAAGGAAAGTTTGTTTGTTTGCTGCTTCAATAACCTGTGCTGTGACAGTGTTCTGTAGTGACAGGATTACATTGCTGAAATTGTTGGCTTCTCAGGATTCATTTGATTTGTTATTTGTGTGGATATCATGTAGTGAAAGATATTGGAAGCGCTGTAATGCAGGCATGTAGCATGTTCAGGCAGAGAATACTTTTTTTGTACGCTTACAAAGTTTGGAACTGTGTGATTACAGTGTGATTTAGGTATAAGTGGTTATAATAGCTTGTTACAATAGCTCGCTAGTTTCAAGTCAAAATGATATGCAACTTGACTATGTCCTTATGTGTTTAAATGCCCTGTGACGCATGTGCTCATAAAATGACAGCACTGACCCCGTGGGCAGGGACTTTCAGGAACAATACCAGATGTCTTTTATGTTAGCTACGCATTTCAGTATTACTACCCATGACCTGGTCTTGATCCTGACTACCTGAACCCCTGCACAATTTCCCAGACTCTGACACTGACCTGTTCAGATGAGCAGCAGAACCAGAGGAACTGTGAGTTTGATGTGCAGTTTAATCTTTATTCAGCTTCTAAAACTTTACTGAACTTTATGATCAAAAGATCTCTGCAGATACTCTAAGTTCGCTCCTCAAAGATAAAAGTTAGATAATTCCTAAATAGAGTTTAATTTGTTATAGAACAGAAACTTTAAAAACTATATACAGTCTGTTGTTCGCCTGGATCACGAACACTATGACTGGTCTCACCTGACATCTTTTTGTAGTAATTACAACAGTCATTTTTCCTCTGCAGTTTCTTTCTAAAATCCTCAAACAGACCTTGAATGGTTCTTTGTTGGGACATTTGGGCCTGTGTTAGGCTGCTGTTAGATACTCTTAGCTCTGATTTAATGCACACCACACCACAGCAGGTGTAGCAACCATATCAGCTTCTGATATCATGAACATCATCACAGTTCATAACTTCACCTTTATTGAGCTTTGCATTCATGTCTTTCTTGTCTTTCTCTAACCTGTCGCTCTCTCTCTGTTTACACAGAAGCTCAAAGTGTCTGCAGCCTGTTTTTATCTGCTGTCATCAGATCTTCAACAACCTCATTCATATCCCTTACACACCCTACAGCCTCATCAGTGCTGACATCATCTTCCCTGACTGATGGACCACAAGCCGAACTAGAATTACCGTCCTGCGGTTGTATGCCTCCGCCCACCAGTCAAGTTTATCTTAACCCTATGGGCCCTAGGCCTTTTTGGGTGTTTTTACTGCCTTTACTTTTAAGCTCATATCACAGTCATTATAAAGGCTACATACACATGCTATATCGTGTTTTTTTTAGGACAATCTGGGCTATCCAGATTTGCCATGATTACATGTCCTTCTATGTGCCTGTATTTTATATTATTCTTTATATCAATGAATATATATATATTATTAATCTGTGTTACTAAATTCTTACATTTTTACATGTATCTCACAAGTTGGAAAATGACATATTCTGCCATATATGAAGAGGGGAGACTCTCTGGAATCTGGCAATATAAGAACCATGATGGTGGGTGGGACATTCTGTCACTTCACAGCTGTCCAAAACATGTGGTTTGTGCCAGGTGGACATAATTGCCAGTATTTTTTCATTATTGCAAGAAATTCCATTGACTCATTCACAAGTCAAAAATGTGTTTATTTGAAAGAAACATGCAATATTTACATGTAAGATAATAGAAAAATCATCAACCAAGTGCAATGATGTCCTCTAAGATAATATATATCTTTGTTTGCAGTAAAGAAAATTCTGGACGTTTTCTTTTCAACATGATCTTGACTTGCCTGATGCCTCCTGCTGCTGCTGCCATTAGTCATACTTCTACTATTATTATACACATGATTATTGGCACATACGTATATCATATATTAATATACTTTCAACATATTGTACCACAATAGCCGTAATTATTATTATAATATTACTACTTTCATTAGTGTTGTTGTAAGCTACTGTCATTACTGTCTGTCCTGCATCTCTCTGTCTCTCTTTCTGTCTTATTCTGTCATACGGATTACTGTTAATTTATTATGTTGATCTGTTCTGTACGACATCTATTGCACGTCTGTCTGTCCTGGAAGAGGGATCCCTCCTCAGTTGCTCTTCCTCTCTGTATTTATGGCGTGATGGGATGACAGCACAATGATGTGTTTGACATCATTGGAAAGCTCCGGTCCTGCGCTTTCATCGTGGCATTTCTGTGCAACCCTATAATTAGCGAGTAATCCATCCAAGAATAATGTGGGTGAAAGCTGTATGAAAGCTTTGTTATATATAATTTTAACGTAACTATATATTTTTTTTCCTTGTGAAAACATTGGACTTCCGACAAGTGCTTGGTCTTGTCTGTCTGGATAACTTGGTCTCCTTAAGGTGATCTTGAGATATGACGTTCACAAGAATGAGACAGATGCAAGGTCACATTAACCTTGACCCCTGCCCACCAAAATCTAATCAGTTCGTCACTGAGTCCAAGTGAATATTTGTGCCAAATTTAAAGAAAGTCCCTCTAGGCATTCTTGAGAATGAAACAGACAAGGTCACAGTGACCTTGACCCTTGATCATCAAAATCAAATTCGTTTATCATTGAGTCCAAGTAGACATTTGTGCCAAATTAGAGGTGCTCTTGAGATATCTCGTTCACAAGGATGGGACGGACAGACAGACAGATGGATTGATGGACAACTCGAAAACACGATGCCTCCAGCCACGGCTATCGCCAGCACAGAGGCATAAAAATTGTCTTGTCAAATTTTTCATCTCTCTAAATACCAAATAATCAGACATTTGGAAAGACAGAAAATATCTGAAAATAAATAAATCAAGTTGTTTAGATTTGTTCTCAGACAAAACTCGAATGAAAAACAATGTTTTCATATCTAACTCCTGAATTAAGGGTTTATATCGACAACACCAGAGCTGGTGATGACTACTAGATGATGATGACTAACAAGACGAGCTGAGATGGTTTTGGTGAGTTTCATTCTGTTTCTGTCTAGTTTGAATGAAATGTATTTTAGGATGGGTTAACAAGGCAATCATGCTAATGTTAGTCTTAGGTGAAACAGAGAAACTGGAATTCAGAAGGTGTGTATTTCTCTGTTTAATAAGGAAAATAAATGTAGGTATGTTATCTTTCTAATCATTGTGTGAGTTTAAATAATGTATTTATTAAATTGAAAAAGCTAGGAGAGTAGTGTAACGCTGGACAATAATACAGTCATGTACTGTATACCCTGGTGAAAGTTCTAAAGTGTATAGAAAATACCGCTCAAGCCTAATATCAGCCTTATGTATGCAGTTTAGTGTCACTGCAACTTTTACATCTCATCAATTTCAACACAGATGTAAAAATGGTTTCTGACCTCAGAGTCTTCAGTTTACAGTGTGGACTCGCCAGTCCACCAGACAGCAGCTTCACTCCTGAATCCTTTAGCTCCCAGTTCTGACTCAAGTTTAGCACTCTCAGATGGGAGGGGTTGGACTTCAGAACTGAGGCCACAACTTCACAGTGAGTCTCTGAGAGTCCACTGTAGGAAAGTCTGTCAGGACATATTTATTACAAAATTTTACTATGAAAGAGGGAAGAAAAAGAGGACAATATTTTACTATGAGAGAGGAAACTTTATTTCCCCATCACAACTATATTTTTCAGTCCACACCTTTCACAAGAAAACAGATTGACATTTAATAATAACTTTACTACATTCACTATAAACAGTAGAATACTTCTGTTGTGATAAAACACTACTGTGATAAAACCTTGACTAAAACCTCTGCAATCCTTCCTTAGTTCTACCAGGTCTGTCAAATCTAAGTTAGTAGAAATAATTAGAATAACTGTGTTCATTAACTTGACAGCTAGAGACACAATCAGCTGAAACATCAACATTTTTTGCACTCACAACTGACCAGTGTGTAGGATTTTCTGTTCAAAAACCAATTCCATAGGTCAGATCTACATGAAACTTGGCACAGACATCCATCTATACTCACTCCACAAATCTGTTTCAACAACCATTAAAGTCCACCTGACTAGATTTGTTGAAATCTTGATTTTTTTAGTACACACATTTAACATCATGTCCAAAACCATAGGTCAGATTTGTACCAAATTTTATGTGTATCATCACTGGACCAAGCTTATCAAAAGTTAGATGAAGCTTGCTAAAGTCTCATTGCGTTTTGAAGATACTGACCAATTAACTTCGAAATGGTGTGGCTCAGCACGTAAATAGACCTAAATCCACAACTGTTTGGCTAGTCATCATGAAATTTACAGGATGTATCCAGTACCTAAAATATACCCTGAAAGTTCCATTCAAATTGACTGCTAGGGGCACTACAAATACAAAAAAAGGTGTGGCATAATACAAATCAGACTATAAATGAGTAATTGTTTGTCCAGTCATTTTGAAATTGCTCCATAGGAGCCACCACCACTTGAAACAAGTGCTTTGGTGTGAAGCAAAATTGGCCCTTCAAAGATTTGGTTGTTTGTTTTGTTCTGTTCTGTTCTGATTTAATTATCTCTGATTATTTTGTGACGCTACTACCCCTTCTGACTTTAACACCGTGTTTTACATTGTCTTACATTTGTACTGTTAGCACTTAATTGTAAAATAAAAAATAGAACTAAAAAGAACCATTCTACACTAAATTAAAATGTAAATCAGATCCAGACTTACAGAGCCATTCTGCAGTTCCTCACAGCTGGAATCAGTCTTAGTTTTCCCTCTGCAGATGTGTTGTACTTGTCCAAGTCCAACTCATCCAGAACCTCCTCTGACATCTGCAGCATGTAGGCCAGAGCTGAGCAGTGGATCTCAGAGAGTTTCTTCTTTGATCTGTTCTCTGACTTCAGGAACTCTTTTATCTCCTGATGAATTGAGTGGTCATTCATCTCCACCAGACAGTGGAAGATGTTGATGTTTCTGTCAGGAGAGATTTTGGTCCTCCTCTTTTTTAGATTGTTGGTGGCTCTCTGGGTGATTTCTGTACAGTTGTCAGTCTGACCCAGGAGACCTTCTAACAATCTCTGGTTGGACTCCAGAGAGAGACCATGAAGGAAGCGAACAAACAGGTCCAGATGACCATTTTTACTTTCAAGGGATTTCTCCATGACCCTCCTCTGGAAGACATCTAGAGATGAGTCACGGTTTTTATATATCCAGCCTTTCCCCAAGAAGTCCTCAAGTACCTTTGTCTTCCTGTTGGTGTAACAGTGGAACATGTAGACTGCAGCCAGAAACTCCTGAACGCTCAGATGAACAAAGCAGTAGACTGATTTCTGGAAGATCACACTCTCTCTTTTGAAGATCTCTGTACAAACTCCTGAGTACACCAAGGCCTCTGTGACATCAAGACCACACTGCTCCAGGTCTTCCTGGTAGAACATGATGTTTCCTTTCTCCAGCTGTTCAAACGCCAGCCTCCCCAGCTTCAGGAGAATGTCCCTGTCTGCCTCTGTCAGCTCCTGTGGACACGTCTCATGTCCCTCATCATACTTCTGCTTCTTCCTCTTTGTCTGAACCAGCAGGAAGTGTGAGTACAGGTCAGTCAGGGTCTTTGGCAGCTCTCCTCTTTGCTCTGTGGTCAACATGTGATCCAGAACTGTAGCAGTGATCCAGCAGAAGACTGGGATTAGACACATGGTATGGAGGCTCCTGGAAGTCTTGATGTGTGAGATGATTCTGCTGGAGAGCTCTTCATCACTGACTCTCCTCCTGAAGTACTCCTCCTTCTGGGCATCAGTGAAGCCTCATATTTCTGTTACCCTGTCAACACATGCAGGAGGGATCTGATTGGCCGCTGCAGGTCGGGAAGTTATCCAGACTAGAGCTGAGGGAAGCAAATTCCCCTCAATGAGGTTTGTCAACAGCAAGTTGACTGATGACTCCTGTGTGACATCAGACACAACCTCATTGTTGTGGAAATCCAATGAAAGTCTGCTTTCATCCAGGCCGTCAAAGATGAACAGAACTTTACAGACAGCGAGGTCCTCTGCCTTGACTTTCTGTAATGTGGGATGGAAAACATGGAGCAGCTTGAGAAGACTGTACTGCTCATCTTTGATCAAGTTCAGCTCCCTGAACGAAAGCAGAATCACCAGACTGACATCTTGGTTTTCCAAACCCTCTGCCCAGTCCAGAGTGAACTTCTGCACTGTGAAGGTTTTTCCAATGCCAGCAACGCCTTTGGTCAGAATGACTCTGATGTGTTCCTGTTGGTCAGGAAAGGCTTTAAGGATGTTGTGACATTTGATTGGAGTGTCATGAAGGGTCTTCATCTTGGAAACTGTCTCAAGCCGCCAAACCTCATGTTGGGTATTAACCTCTTCACTCTGTCCCTCTGTGATGTAGAGCTCAGTGTAGATCCTGTTGAGGAGGGTTCCACTTCCTGTTTCATCAGTTCCCTCAGTCACACATTCACATCTCCTCTTCAGAACGATCTTATGTTCATCTAAAACCTCCTGCAGACAAACATCTGCTGAAAGAGAAGAAAAAATGTGACCCTAAAGAAAAAAATTTTGAGAATCTGGAGATTTTCAAGACCAAAACAAAAATAAGAAAAAACAGAAAAGTAAAAAAGGGTTTCAAATTGTATGGGTTTTATGAAAATATGTCATTACATCATCAGACAGATGTACAGTCTTACTTTGAACTGTGCTGGTCTGACTGGCTGTCTGCAGTCTAGCTCTTGTTCTGGATCTTTTTACACACTGGGGACAGGAGGAGTCTCCTGATGAAGCAGACTGGTCCCAGTATGAGGTGATGCACTGTCTGCAGAACCAGTGTTCACAGCTGGTAGAGACTGGATCCCTCAGGACATCCTGACACAAAGCACAGCAGGATAGCCACTCCTCCACAAAAACAAGACTCCTCTTCTTGTCTCTGTGGAGATTATCAGAACCAGCATCAGAGGGAGGAGTAAGGTGCACAGTTCTGCGGTGTTATATATACATATTTATAAAAAGAATAAATAAGGATTAAATAAGGATTTTGTATACAGTATGGGTATGGGTTATTGCACATATTGAATATTGCACAGTATAAGTGATCATTAATACATTACAATGATGCAATGCTTCCTTTATAGTCAACTTTAGCATAGGATACACTGGACCATCCTTTATGAAAGGAAAGGTGACAATGTCATCCCACAATTCTGTGCTGCAGCAACATTTTAAGCGACTCGCCATATTGGCCAGTCTTTGGGAAATCAACTATCTTGTCAAATAACACATCCACAACCTATATGAGCTGTAACAGCTTTAATGAATGACTGCGGACATTCCTCGCGGAGTCTGCTCCGCTTATAGTACGCCCGAGTATGTTCACTTAGTCAAGGATAAAGTATCAGTGTAAGCCAATCAGAGGCAGCGATTGCATTCCGTACACAAGCACAGAGAGAGAGAGAGGGAAAAAACACACGATTTGTCGACTCCTCCCGGGGGGTGTCGACTTGTATCATTGATGTCGACACGTCGACAAATTGACTTTTCTGTTAATGCCCTACTCACATACACATACAATGTAATGTATACAGTATAATGTCGACTTTTTGTTGCAATAAAAAAAATCGATTACACTGTTGGTGCTTCTTACATTACGGTGGGTGCTCCCAAAATTTTGCTGGTGCTCTTTTTGAAGTTAGGAGCACCAGTGCTACCATGTATAAAAGTTAATTTCAAGCCCTGGACGTGGTCATAAAAGTGTTGGCTCTCACGTGCTAATGGGAGTTTTAACATGTTTAAAAATAAAAGTACAAGATCTAATATTTAAAACTTTTTCAACACAGTTTGGATGGCTAGTTGCCACATGTATGTCCATGGCAATATTTGGAGTAACTCCTCCAGATGTCTGATTGGCCAACGTCTTCTTTGTGTGGCTTTAGGGTTAGGAATATATCGCCGCCTGTTGCTTTGGCATGTTGTTGAGAGCACTGAACTGTGTTTTTGCATTTTCATTCGGACAAAACAGAGGAGAGAAAACCCCATTTTCAAAAGTACCCATGTACATGTGGTCTGGGCCTAATATGTGCCAGATCTGATGTCTTTTGATGTTATTTCAGTGTGAAAGATAAATATTTAATTGACACTTAAGTAAAAAGAAGTACTGGGTCGGACTCGGTATGGGCAGATACCCAATGTTCAAGGACTCTGAATGGATGTGGGGCCAAATAAACTTTACTGAGACACCCCTGGTGACTGATATCATGTAACTATAAAAGTTACAACACAACAGTGTTGTAGCGCTGATTATAAGATGACTTTAAAGAAGTGAACTTCAGGTCAGTTTACAGTGAAAACAGTCTCTTACTTTGTGTCTGAGGGTCCAGGTTCATTACTGAACAGTGGAGGATTTCCTTTGGTCTCATCACTCTTCATCGACAGACAGCTGGATACTGGAGGCTCTGCTCTGCCCTCCTCTTCCTCCAAATCACTCATCTTCACAGGTCTGAGAGGAAAACCAGTATCATTGGCTGTCTTTGTAATCCTTTAAATACAAATGATAGAAATGTGGGTAACGGCAGATCTCCTTGCACACCTCTCATCAAATCAAGCAACCGTTATGAGTATCTTCTACTTCTTCTTCTTGGCAAACCAGCTGGAGGTGCATACGCCACTAATTGGACTCAAGTGTGGAACAAGAGATTAGATTTTCTCACTAGAGCATGCACAGTCAGCACACTCGCTTGAGAGGAGGTAATGTGGCTCAGGTCTGTTTGGGGACGCGACTCCCTAAAAATGTGGCAATTCACCTGGATGGGTGTGGTTTTACACGTTTCTGCAAGCTCAGTGACCACCTTAGCCCACAGGCTACTTTATGATAACCTGTGTGTATCTTTGTAAGAATGCATAACAAAAATCCTGAATTACTTTTGTTTGATTAAAATGAGAAGTTGGACTGAGTGGCAAAGTTTGATGCACATCAAGTGAGAAGGCATACAGAATACACTATTAATGTTTTCCTATTATTAATATTTGGTATCATGGCCATAGGCAGCTATGAGGTCACTGAGGTCCTGACCTCAGTAAAAATTTCTAAGAGAAAAAAATAGAAGCCCCAAACAGCATGGTAAACATATTAACACACCAGACAGCTTTTATTTTGAAACAACACGCAGGAAGTTATCTGATGTATCGGCGGAACGCGGAAAACTCGAATTCAGTTGACAGGAAGACGACGATACTGCTAGCTGAAAGACGAGGTGAGTGAATGACAGTTTTTTTATTATTATTTTAGCAACGACCAAGCGGCCGACTATAAATTAAAGTTTAAGAAAAAGTTAAGTTCTTGCTAAGTAACGTTAATGTTAGAAGCTTTAGCTGTGACTCAATGGGTTGAAAGCTACTGGCCAATCATGCATGATGTGAGCTCATTAAGTCAGTGCCATGCTCCCAAAGGTAACATTATTTAACGTTATGCAGGTGGCTGTTTCATGACCCAATAAAGTTACAAGAGGTTAGGTGGTGTAGAAACTATATATGACAAAAACATTTAACTTAATATTCTAAATGATAGTGATGCACCTGTATGTTGTACACTAGATTTGATTGAGATGGGTATTTGATATATAATGCACTGGGCAATAAGAGCATCCCTCTGTCTATCTGAACACTATTCAGTGGCTTGAAGCCTTAAACCACATCAAATAATGTTGTTACATTATGCAGCGCTTTATTCACTTATTTGAAAAGTACATGACTACACATGTTTGTGTCATCTACTATTTATTTGTTGTTGTTGCATTACTCTTGCTAGCTTAGAATTTGATAATAATAACATGCAATAATTCAAACCCTTAATTACAAATTATCCTCAAGCATTATAATCTCATCAATAAGGTCTAATCAAGCTCCTTGATCCCCCCTACAGAAAAAAACAAGTCAGAAAGTGACAGAAGAGGGAAAGAAAGATGTCAAAAAGATAACATTTTCTCCAGAATACATTAGATTCATTTGTTTAAAAAAACCTAAGCCACGTGACAATGAGGACAGAGGATGAGAATGGACAGAAGAGAGAGGAGGATAGAAAGAAGTGTGGAACTGCACAGAGTGGAGAATGGAGAGGACAGAGCAGAGAACTGTGTGGAAAGACAGGAGAGCAGAGAGATCAGAGTGGAGAACAGAGATGAAGAGATAGGGCAGAGCGGAGAACCAAGTGGACAGGGAGGACAGAAAGGAGAACGGAGAGAAAAGGGCGGAGAACCAAGAGGAGAACCGAGTGCACAGAGAGGAGAAGAAAGAATCCAGAGAGGATCAGCACAGACAGCAGAACAGAGAGGAGGAGAGATAGGAGAAAGAGGAGAAGAAAGCATCTGCTGGGATGTTTCCATGTATCTACTGGCACCAGAAGGGCTCTTTAGGACTAAGTACATACAGTACATTTGTGCACAGTAATGAGCAGGTGAAATGTCTGTCTAGCTTACATATGAGGTGTCTCAAGATTTAGGAAAATACAATTTTATTGAACATAATAAAAGTAAAAAGTCACTTGGCATGTTGCTGACCTATTTAAGTGCTGGAAGATGTTATTTACGTGACAACGCCTGAACTCAACACAGGCTCCGCTCCAACTGAGTGTGTGTACAGTGCTGTGCTGCACTGCTGTGTGAGCAGCATGTTTGCGTAACGGCAGTCTTTTGATGGTTATTTACACACTGTCCATAACAATAACTATGCCAGGTGACAAACTGCACCGGGCTCGGGTCGGGTTTGGTCAGGAAAACGCGGCCCAAGCTGCGCTCTAGCGTGCTCACCTATGACAAGCCAATACTGCCACAATTACGGGTACATATAGCGGGTAATGGGATGAGAACGCCGCTTTTAACAGTGTTTTCACAGCTTTTACGCCGTATTCTGTGCCAGTTTTTCATGAAAATGCCATAAAATTACGCGTTAGACCTGTAGTATCAAGTGTATCTTAGTTTATCTTCATAAACTGATGATCACACATACACACACACACACACACACACACAAATCATCTCAGTTTGAAGCCACAGATGTGCATGAGGTCTCCTGTGGGTTTAATCTCAGGGTTTAGGCAAAGATTTGGTTCAAAAAAATCTTTTAGGTTCCAGTTTTGCTAGTTTATCTAAAGAGATGACCCAATACAGTGCTCCAGGGATAATGTTTTTCTGTAGGCTGATGCTGAAGTTAGTATCTCCCTGGTTCCCTCATCAAAATGCCTATGGGACTTTTCCATTGAATTTTGATTTAATTGCAGAAAATAAGCTTTGTGACAAACATGGCTGAAATGTTTGTTGGGATGGGAGGGGACAGAGGACATGTTGTTGTCTCTGTTGACAGAGCCATGTTTTCTAAACTTTTTCTTTTTTATTAGTTATTCTCAGAATTAAGAATATACACAGAATATTACGGTACAATAACAACATATGCACATACAATACAGGCCAAAAGTTTGGACACACCTTCTCATTCAATGCGTTTTCTTTATTTTCATGACTATTTACATTGTAGATTCTCACTGAAGGCATCACAACTATGAATGAACACATGTGGAGTTATGTACTTAACAAAAAAAGGTGAAATAACTGAAAACATGTTTTATATTCTAGTTTCTTCAAAATAGCCACCCTTTGCTCTGATTACTGCTTTGCACACTCTTGGCATTCTCTCCATGAGCTTCAAGAGGTAGTCACCTGAAATGGTTT